ATTCTTTTAATTCTTTTGGGAAGATACCCAGCAGGGGAATAGCTGGGTCAAATGGGACTTCCAGTCCTAGTTCTTTGAGGTATCTCCATACCCACCAGCAGTGGAGCAGGGTTCCTCTTTCCCCACAGCCCCGCTACCATTTGTAATAACCATTTGTAGATTTCATGATAGCAGCCATTCTTTCTGGAGTGAGGTAGAATCTCAGAGTTGTTTTCATCTGCATCTGTTGAGAGTGAATCTTGATAAGTTTGTGCTCCTCTTGCCTCAGCCTCTCAGAATGCCGGGATTACAGGCCTGTGCCACCACACCCGGCTCTGTTGATTTCTTTAGTGTCTAGGAAATTGGTTGTTTCAGAAATAACTTTTCAAAAATTAAATGGTAAACTGTTAAAGAAGACATTCCCAATTTTGTTGTGATGTTGAAATATTAAAATTAATGATCAGAAGAATTTATTCTTACCCATTTATTCTTGCTCTCCTAGCTCCATTAAACAGTTTCAGTTGTGGAAAATGACATCCATACAAAGTATTTTGTGAGCAAAGTATTCTATAAATAGCTCTATTAAACTTAATTGAATAGTTACATTTAATAGTTACTCTGTAATTTTCACAAGTGACAGTTTAGTCACATATTTAGAGAACAGTGTAACATTGGAGAAAAAGATTGGTATAAGCAATACCTTGGAATCACTGTATTTATCTTGCTTCTTCTGAACCTCAAGTCTCTAGCTGCCTGCCATTTTGCCGAAACATTTATGGGTGATACATTTTAATGTGCTCCTTGATGTTTCACATAGCTCAGAAACAAGCCAGATTTATTTAGTTTTGCTTTGTTCTTTGGTTGTACTGTGGTGATTGAACCTTGGGTCTTTGCACTGAGCCCTATCCCTTTATTTTTTGAGACAGGGCTTTACTCCATAAGTTGCCCATCCTGGGCATGAATTTAGGATGCTCCTGCCTTAGCTTCCCAGAGTGCTTGGATCATAAGCATGGACCACCATGCCCAGCAACAAGCCACATTTTACTGTGTCAGTTATTCGCCTGGCTGGAAAACCTGACATGCCTCAAAGCCTTTTTCTTGACCATCTTCTCAGAGTGTCTTGACCTCACATGTTGAGCAATTTTTTTGTCAAAGATAATGAGCTAAGTATATGTATAAATTGACTCCAAAGTTATAAGAAAAATTGCTTATAAAGTCTGCTAATCTATTTGGTCTCCAGAGTTACTTAAGACAGGCTTTATAATAAACTCTATAATGTTTGTTTTACTTTATCTCAGGGGTTTTTTGTTGTTGTTGTTTTGCTTTTTGCTACTGCTTCTGTTTTTAAATAAGTATTTGGCCTTGAGATTTTCTGCTTGTTTGTCTTAATGAGTTTAACCTACGACACAGTTTACTAGCCTGGAAGAGATAACACTTTAGAAAGGTGGCTGCAGAGTTATGGAAATCATGTGTCCCATTTGTGTACGATAAATTTGAGGTCTCCTGGCTTTTCTGAGAAGTCACCTTAGCCATAGCAGTAAGAACAGAGGATAATGTGGAAATTGGGTCCTTGTTTTGCTTGTGTGTCTCAGGGAAAGGTTTTTTGGGGGGTTTTTTTGGTTCCGGGGATCGAACTCGGATCTTTCCACTTGCGGCGGAATCACTGAGCTAAATCCCCGGCCTGTAAGTGAAAGTTTTTATTGGTATTTGTACAACTTTTTACTTCCACATTGCACCTTGGCTGTCTCCCCGCACTAGCTTCTACGCCACCTGATAATAGCTCATAACAGCGCTGTCTTAAAGATGTTGTGGAAACAAAATATATTAGCACCACTGAGAGACCATGGAGCACACAAGTTGCTCATTGCCCAAATGGTAGGGTTCCTGCAGGAAGAGAAGGACTCGGAGAGTGCCATGATCCCCCACCGGCTTACTCACTGGGTACCTCTCAGAGGGAGTGGATGGGTTATCGGCCACATTCTTTGAGTTTAAACTCATCTCACCTTTCAGTTTGAGTTCTGTGCTATTCATAGCTGTTTCAATATTACTTTTTATATGTATTTATAACATAATACTGCTTTGTCACAAAACTTAATTTCC